TATTATTCTCACATTTGTGGTGGCCACTAAGTGGAGCAATATCAACTGGATGCGGGGCGCCATATGGCTGTTGGGTATTCTGTTTTACCTCAGACGTTCTCCTCCTTATCTCTCGTTGTAGCGGGGTTTTGTCCTCCATAATTTTCAGACTTTTGAAAGTCGTATTAAGCACAATGAGATTGCGCTTTTGAATGAATTGTTTAGCAATAAGTTCATTTTGAAACTGGAAAAGTATGGGACACGCGTAACGCATTACATTTTTTCGTAGTCTGATGCAGCTGGACCAACAAGATTGCATACCGCATGCAGTGAGAAGCACTTTCTGAACAGTTTTTAATGGTAAATTGTCTGGCACATTAAAAACCACCGCATTGCGTGAACAGCGTACTCGATTGTGAACTTCGGTCGAAATGGAGTCTATCAGTACACTGCACTTCATGAGGTTCATTTTATCAATATTTGGGGGCGATTCAAATAAGACAGCTAGACTCTGCAAAGGTTGCAATATCGATGTGAGCATGTCGACTTTTAATGCAAGTACAGCTTATACAGTTTAAGCTACGGATGGACATTTTTCAGGTGCCTTTCTCAGGCCATCATGTATGTAGCGACCTGGAGATTCCCCCGTATGACTGTGTAAACTATTCTAAAATATTCAAATTATAGCTTTCTTATGTATTAGGGAACTATTCGGTTTGCCTGTTGGAACGTTGTTCCCGTTTGTTGGAAACACGAGAACGATCTCCGCCTTTGGCGCGCGGCTCGACTGCGAACGACGCTCCGTCTACGCTCTCGACGCCAACGACATTTTCCCTAGCTAGCTCTCTCCGGGTGCCCTATTTTTAGCATTAGCTAACGCTCCTCCCATCCAATAAACTTCTTCCCTAGCTTACTTTTGTGTCTTCTACCCACTGCTTTTGGTTGGCCGTCTAGTCGCGTACCGGATATATAGCGCACGATCAACGCGCTATATGTAGTCCAAGGAAATTTCTCACAGCGCCTACACTGCTTTGGGTATTTTCTTTACTACTGCTTCCACTCTTTGTGCGAAGTACCTTAGTTCCTTGTCTCAGATTTTGAACTAAAATGGAAGCATCCTGGCCCATAATACTTTTTTCCCCATCGAGCGTGTCCTTACTGTAGACATGATAATGAAACCGAAGTAAGCTACACTGAAGCAAAATCAGAGGAGCTAAGACAATGGGTGCTAACTTCTGATTCTTAACTGAAATTCCACGTCCAATATAATCCTGGTAAAAATGGCAACTCCCGGAAACTGTGCGAGTTAATTAGTAACAAAAAGAACGCACCGCAGTGAACTATTTGAATCTCCGCCTCCGAGTTGCACACGCTGTTGCTTTGGAAACGCGATCTCTCCACCAATTCCAATGACACACCGGTTAGCAGTCGGGTCAGCACAGGCGTTCCTCGTGACAGGTCACAAGCGGTTGCAGGTGAATCCAGACAGGCCTCGGAACGAAGCACAGGCTATCGATCTGGTCAGAGCGCTTCTTGGTGTGGCACTAGTGGTGTGTGACCGGTGGGTTGATTTTAAGTGGCAGCCTCAGTGACTGCGACACAATCGAAAGATTAGCGGTAGATCCCTTATATTGCTGCCTGTATCTGCCTTACGCAGCTATCGATAAAAGCAGTCGTGTAGTTGTTAAAGAGCCCTTATGTTGGGCTTCCAAAAAAGGTCACAATTTGTGGTGTAGGATGCAAACCGAAAGAAATTCCTCGTGTATACCTCCACAGAGAAAACGGAAAATGTAAAAATCGACGGGAGATAGTCGTCTGTAATGCGTGGATTCGAAATACGCTGCGCGTTGGAAAGAGCACGTCGAGCCGGTTCGAATGAGCGTACAGTGACAACGCTGCGAGCAGATGGAGAGAGGATAGAGAGGAATAATCCAAATGACCCGAGAGCACGCACGTCACGCGTGTGTGTGGCCCCTCAATCTTTGCTCAGTGCTGTGTTGATACAGTTAGCAGGTTCCAGTCACTCGCCATTCCTTGGGACCTTGTCAGTCAGTGCGCCTGCATAACCCATCACACGGACCGCGCGACCACGCCGACCGCTCATTTGACCTCGCAACCACCACGCTCGCCTGACCGATGTGCGCCGCTCTCAAAGCTGGAAAAGTACAGGAGGCTAAAAAGCTCACTGGGTCAGGTAACGACACCATGTTGAATGGCAGAAATGCGGATCCGAAAAGGCTCCAACTAAAAGGCGTTTTCTGGGAGGAGAATGTCACCGATTAGTTAAAATGGGTTTGACTTGCTCGCACTGTTTGAAATGTTATCATCTGAACTGTGCAGATGTGTCTCAACTACAGGTAAGAAAGCGAAATAGCTCAAAAGATGCACTTTGGTTCTGTACTGCATGCTCCACAATCCCACACGTTAAGTGCTTGCTTATCTTAGCTCAGAAATGCGACCAGTTAACCGCAGAAGCCGAGCAGAGGATAAACGATAAGATTACTTCAATAGAAGCGAGTATGCACCACGGACGCGTAGCGGCTTCTAAGCAAATTAATGCTGCAAAATCAGCTTCTCCTGAAACGCAATCAGCCACGTCCCCATCTCCGTTGTCTTCTCCAACTTTGGTAGAACGCCGGACGAAAACTGACCGTACCTACGAGAGTCAAACAGTACTCACGGCAACGAAAATCAGGCACCACTCGAAACGTCTGGTTAAGCAAATTCCACTGGACCTGACATCTAGCATTAACAAGGATGAAGCAGCCGAACACCAACCCACGGTACCTGTAGCTCAAATGTCTCTTGTCGAGACAAAGCCCCCCGGAACATCAGTTACATATGCAGAGATTGCTGCAAAGGTCAGCCGGGGAGGTCGCCGTTGCGGCCTCTTCTGTTGTAAACACCGTTAACGCGAATAGAGGGACAAACAGCAAACAATCAACACTTGTCAGCAGGTCAGGACAAACGAGTACCATACCTTGTAGATCAACGAAAAAGGGATCCAACAATAGTGCCCGGACTGTTGTATGCTCAAATGTCCCTGAATCTATCGCCATCACATTGCGGGATAAGTTATCGGACGACCAAGGCCAATGGAACTCATTGTGCGTGCGGATGAGTGTCAAAGCCAAGCCCATAAACTTATTACGAATTACTCGTCATCCGAACTCGCCACACTATGGAGAACCCAGACTTATTCGAGTAACACTAGAATCCTCCACCGACGTAGAAACGTTTTGCTCTCCGCAAGCGCGCTAAAACACGGATCCTGTGGGATACGCATCTATCCTGATGTCCCTTGGAGCGCGCGACAATCAAAAAGCAACACCGAAGAGGGGCACAGCAAGCAAGACCGCCTAAACACAATCTTCATACATGGCGTGCCAGAACATCCTTCTAAAGATGTTCAAGAGACCGGAAAGCACGATTTAGAACAGTAGAGGTTCATTCGTGAAACACTTTCTTTGGATAATATTTTGAGCGCTATCGCTCACCAGGATACCTCTCTCACCAAATATAGAGGATGTGTCCCTAGAATCCTAAAAGTTGTGGTTCAATCAGGGCAACAAGCAAAGGATGTTTCGGATCGATGGCAGAGAAATCGGAGAAGTCTTCTTTCTGAACTTCGGTTAAAGATAGCAGAAGCTTTGCACAGTTCAAATATCAAAGCACCTGAAGCAGCAAGCATACTGACGAAGGTACAGAAGTGTAACTTGACTGCTGCTTTAATTGACTCTGACGTAGGTCTAAACGAAGGGTGGGACGCACCTTGGCCGAATCAAGTTGCAAACGAGGTATCATTAACCCATCAAAAAAACGAGTAACTGCCGACCTCCCATCGGTCGGCATTCTCCCACACTTGACCCCTTCACCCCTCTGTGGGCTCCTAGAGACCGAGAAACTGGCCTGCTTGTATACGAATGCTCAGGATCTTTTTAATAAACTGGCCGAACTGAAAGATCGCCAAGCTTCCGGGTCATATGATGTCATTGGTATCACCGAGACGTGGTTGCACACGGGAATGACAGACGCTGAAGTTTCGCTACCGGGCATGTCGCTGATCCGGAACGACAGGCTCACAAAAGGAGGCGGGGTAATCCTGTATTACCGAAGCGACTTACAGTGCGAAGCCGTGGAGGATTCAGACTCGCAGTTCCCCGACTCTCTTTGTTGCCGCTTGCAGTTAAAAGGCAGGGACGCTTGCCTTATTGTCTTGGTGTACCGCCCCCCTAACTCTACACCCGAAACCGACTGCCACCTAGCGGCTGCTTTAAGATGCAGTTTACAACGAAAGTACACTCACATACTTATCATGGGTGATTTCAACGTATATTGTTTAGAAACTCCTGCCACGATCGGAGAACAATTCAAAGCCGATCTACAAGATCTCGTAACCACTGTTCCTCTTTACAATCACATCACTTTGCCCACTCGGTTCAGAACAGGTAACAGGCCATCTGTGCTGGATCTTGTGCTTACCAACGAGGAGCATATGATTGATGTGTTGGTTTTAGACTGCCCGTTGGGTCGCAGTGATCAGTTTCAACTTCGTCTGCTATGCGGAATATCGGAATGAGAACGATGAGACTGTGCGAACCATCACAAGCTACGATCGATTAGCCCAGCTCGTCAGCGCCACAACTTGGTCGTTCCTTGACGAAGAACCCCCGGAAGTCGCCTGGCTCGAGTTCGTCAACAAATTCAGTCAGCTGATTGCAGAGGCTTCAGAGATAAAGTTTGCAATAAGTGTACATCAGTTTCTTTCGTTAGGAGCAGAACTCGAAAATGGATGACAGTACGCAACGCAGCATGGCGAGTGTACAGAGAAGCTCCAGCACCAGAAACTTGGGACAACTACGTAGCCCAACGTAACCACTGCACTCAACTGCTAAGAGAAGACAAAGCCGCCTATCAGCAGAACATCGCAAAAACCTTCAGTGCTAACCACAAACTGCTGTACAAGCACGTCAATAGCCTACGAAAGGTGAGGCAAGGATTTCCTCCACTCAGGACGGCTGATGGCCCAACAAGAACGGCTGTGGAAGCAGCAAACGCGCTGCGGATGCAATATGCCCCCACGTTTCAAAGGGCTTGCCACCAAGCGATCTTCCAACCTTTGTCGTCTCCTCGCCAGGACTAACCCACATCACTTTTACCGCGGAGGCTGTATTGCAAAAGCTGACGTCTCTACGCAAACACAGCTCGCCGGGTGTCGACACCATTCGTCCAGAGGCACTGGAAGCAGCAGCAAGCCAACTGGCAGGACCTTTAGCTCAGTTTTTCCAGCGCTGCTTAGACCAGAATCAAGTTCCCGCTATGTGGAAGCTTGGAATAATAACCCGATTCACAAAGGTGGAAGCAGAACTGATCCCTCCAACTACCGCCCAGTATCCCTTCTTCCTATACTCTCCAAGGTCATGGAATCCATAGTTGCCGATGCACTGGTGTGCTATCTGGAAAACTGTAACATCATCACGCCTGAGCAGCACGGTTTCCGTCGACAGCGGTCATGTACAACGAATTTACTAATTGCACGCAGTAGTTGGACCGAGGCAGCTGACGCTGGAGAAGGCGTTGATGTGATCTACCTGGATTTTTCCAAGGCTTTCGATCGTCTAGACCATCGGATACTACTCTCCAAGCTCCAGCATTACGGGATCGGCGACCCTCTTTTAAGCTGGATTGCCAACTTTCTACTTCAACGGCAATTAGTGGTCAGAGTTCGGAGCTCTTTATCGAACCCCATACAAGTCGAGTGTGGTGTGCCGCAAGGCTCAGTTCTAG